TGAGTCTTTTGAATCATTCATGTGTAACCAAATATCTGATCTTCACAGATGAGGTGCCATGGCCTCTCATACCCAGGTGTTGGTAATATGGCCAGTCAACTATCAGCACTTCTAGATGAAAAAAAAAAAAAAGCACAAGCAGAAAAACACAATGTTAGAGTTCTCTTTTCTGCTGGAAAATACTTCTGCCTCTCTCCCTGGAAATTTTGGGAACTTGCTCACAGGTATCCTCCCTGTTCCCACTGCTTTCCTTCCCCTGGTGAGTCCAATTCTCAGTGACCTCCCAGAAGTCATGAGGAATCTACCTCTCCCAGACCCAAGTATCTCTCAGTCCTCCTCTTATCTTCTGACCACCCTGAAGTCCCAAAATGTTTTCTTTTCCTGGAAGTGCTTAGGCTGGCAAGAAAGGATATAAAGTTGAACTGGTTTCAGTTTCCAATTTTAGAAATTCATTTTCTAAATCAGCCAGTTCCCTCCTGACCAGAAGTGCAGGAGCCACATTCTGCTGTGGTTCTTTCCTTCTGCTTCCACACTGGGCTCATTACGCTAGATAGAACAGAGACTTGCCTCACCTCTTGCTTTCTGTGCTGACTCCAGAACACAGTGTGTGTTCTGGGAGAGGACAGCTCTGTGCTTGTATTAGTTGCCGTGTTGTGGGCTCCACAATCTCAGCATTTTCTGCTGTTCCTGTGGATTTATTTGATGCCAGAAATCTCTTTGGTGAGTAAGAAACCCTTTTGGATTTTCAGTGGCTGGGGTCTGGTTTTGTTCTTGGAGGGCTGAGGGCAGGTCTTTCTGGTAGAGGCAGAAAGCCAGGTAATCATCTTTACATGACAAAGAACATGTGTCTGAAGGATGGCTTTATTGTTGAAAATATGAGAAAATTTGGACTAAGCAGAATATTTCCTATATGTCTCTCATAGGAAACTACAGCATTCATTGCAAAATATCTGGGTTTTCTGAATGTAGCATTTCATTGCCATAAAACTATTTTTCAATTCTGAGTTTTTCATAATTAGTAGCAATTTTAACAATATTTCTCCATTGGCACATAAATAAAATCTGTCTGTTGAGGATCAGATGATCCTGCCCCATAGTAGATAGTACTTTTGCCTATTTTCACATTCTTGCAAATATACTTGAAGATAAATATGTCTGTTTGTTAAGATTCTCAAAGAACTTTACTAATTATGATACCTGCCTCATTACTTCATAAATAATTACCAATAAAATCCTTAACACATGTTCACTTTGAGAGTTGATTTTTTTTTCTTCTTTAAAAATCTCCTGGAAGGACCTGTGGAATATGGGGAACCCTCAGCACACTCTGCAGGAAAATGCTTCTGTTCATCCCTGAGCCAACACTATGTTAGATAATTTTTTAATTCTCAGTTTCCTGATATAAGCCTCCTCATTTTTACAATGAATTAAGAAAAGGCCCAACCAATCAAACAGCAGTATTTTCTGTAGTTGTTTTTGTTTGGCCAAATGTCTATGTTTCAAAGTTATGCTTTATTTTATAGGGAAAATTCAAGCTTCTGTTTACTTCCTGGGCCATGTAGCATCATGTATTCTAAATCACTCAAAACTCATGTATTAAATGAGGTAAACCAACATTAGTTAAGCTACCAGGATACAGACTTATGTGTTTATCTCTTTTATGGAACATTGGAGTGCAGGACACTTGTCTGTCCATTTGCCTTGCCCTCATGATAAAACCTGCCCCAATTTTCTGCAGGGCTTGGGAAATCAAGCCTGTTTGGAAGTCTTCTTTCCTCACTAAAATGCAGGCCTGAGTAAGTTTTCTGCAGACTAGAAATCTGCTGTGCTATGCATTGTGGTTTGGGGAAAATCAGAAATTGTCAACTAATTTGATGTCATTAAAATTTATCACAAACTTAGTTGGTTAAAATAACACAATTTTGGCTCAGGCACTGAGAGACAGTGTACAGCAGTGAACAGAAGAAATAGATGGAGCCAGTATCCAGAGTTGACCGAGGTGTCCATCAATGAATGAATGGATAATGAAAATGTTCATATATAAAATAGAATTAGCCAGCCATAAAAAAAAGAATGAAATCTTGTCATTTGCAGCAACATGGATGAGACTGGTGCACATTATGTTAGATGAAATAAGCCAGAAACTTAAAACATTTATCTCACAGAAGCAGAAAATAGAATAATTGTGACCAGAAGCTAGGAAGAGGAGAGAGGAGGGAAGAGCAGTCAGCTTTCTACTACTGTGACAAAATACCAGGATAATCAACTTATAAGGAGAAAAGTTCTATTTTGGCTCATGGTTTCCGATTCCAGTCCATGGTCATTTGACTCTGTGGCTTTGAGCCTGTGGCATGACAGCCTATACTGGCAAGGAGTGTGTGGTACAACAATGTGCTCACTTCTGATGGTGATAGCCAGGAAGCAAAGGGAAATAAGAGGTGTCAGGATCCCAATATCTCCTTTAATGGCATGCCCCCCAGTGATACTACTTTCTTATACTAGGAAGTAATATAGGTTATAGGTTATAATCCCTCCCAATAGTTCCACAGGTTGGGGATAAGCCTTCAACACATGGGCCTTTGAGGGACATTCAAGATCCAAACTACAGCAGGAGGATGGAGAAGAGCTGGGTTATGGCTACAAAAATTCAGTCAGAAGAATTCAGTTCTAATGTTTTATAGCACAGAAGAGTGACTAGAGTTAATAATTTATTATATATTTGAAAATAGCTAGAAGAGAGAATTTTGAATGATATAATTTTAAGGTGATGGATATGCTAATTACCCTGATTTGATTATATGTGTTGCATATATGTATGGAAATATCACACTGTACTTCATGAATATACAGTAATTATGCATCAGTTTTTAAAAAACAAGGTTATTCTCTTCTAATTCTGGAGATTAGAAGTCCTAAATTAACAATAAGTTGCTAAAATCAATGTATCAGCAGGTTCCTTCTAATTGTTCTAGCAAACAGTCCATTTCCTTGTCTTCTCAAGCATCTATGGGTCAACTGCACTCCTTGAATCCACTCTTCCTTCATCTTTATGGAATTTTACTTCAACCTCTGCTTCCATCATCTCATTTATTTCTTCTTTGTTCTTCTTGCCTTACTAATCGAAGGATTTTTGTGATATTGAGTTCACCTGGATAATACAGAATATTTGTCCCCACTGAAGATCCTTAATTTAATTACATCAGAAAAGTTCCTTTTATTCTGTAACATATTATGCTCATAGGTTCTGGAATTTAGGAGGTAGACATCTTTATGTACTCTTATTCAGTCTACCACACTGTCCTGACTCCTTGGACATAGAAATCAATTGCATAGAGAATAGGTACTCTCCTATATGGTGAAAATTAAGTCCATCAGGCAAATTAAATTAGTTATAATAAAGTGAATCGGTGTGAAGCAATGAAAGTGGCCCAAAGAGATTATTGTGTTTCTTAGCTAATCCTGTATTTCTGTTTGGGTACTCCATTCTTTTTTTTTTTT